CCAAGGAAGGCTGCTGCATATCTTCGTGAGAAGAAAGACTTTGAGATTTACGCCGTTGGAGTTGGTAAGCAAGTGAGACACAGAGAGTTAATGTCAATCGCTTCACATCCTGAGGATAAACATGTACTTGTTGTGAAAGATTACGGAGAACTACCGAAAATGGTCCGACACGCAGTCGATATCAAGATTGGTAAGAATCGTGCATAGTTTTAATGCCCTCGTCAAAGCGTTTATACGTGAAGAGTCACATTTCGAGAGTGACTTTCAAATAATACACTCCCATGTCCACGATGGCAAACCACCAACAAAATCACTCTTATTTGTAGTATCGTGTACTAACAGACCATTCAGACCCAATCATACAAGCAGTTGTGGTCTCATTGACCAGTAACCTCTACGATAAGTCAAATACTGGTTTGAGTTTCTATAGAATGGAAATTAAAGACAAGGATCAAACTCAACGTTGTTTCCTAGACGACGAGACAGCATTAAGTGTCTTGTCAATGAAGATCCCACCATGATCACCTGACTCATGCTTTCATGCACATTTTTTAATCTTTTCAGTGTGGAACACTGCATGACCCATGTTTTTTCCCCTGTCTCTTTAGATTACACACCCTGCGGTGTAAGTCCAACCTCGTTTAGAGCCAGAATGGTTGGAGGGAACAACGCTGGCCGTGGGACCTGGCCTTGGCAAGTTGGAATTCATAAAATTGACAAGGATGGTAAGCGCTCGGGTTCGCCACCCCTTGTTGGAACGAGTAATGTGGAGTTTGATAAAAAGGAGCGATCTGTCTACAAACTGGATACTACAGCCAACCAACTCAACCAGTCTCCGTATTTCGGGCTGCGAATAGAGTTTAGGTTCATGAATGTTTTGAGATTTTTAATTTCGTGTGGGTCTTTACTTAGTGTTCCCCTTTTCCCCAACCACCACCATATCATGACAACTCCCTCGTAAGGATCCCCGCAAGTGATTATCATATTTTATCTATATTTCCAGGAAATTTCGTCCTGCTATGTGGTGGAGCATTGATTGAAAAACAATGGGTTCTAACAGCAGCTCATTGTTTTTATGTAAAAAATAAAAGGAAAACCATACCAGCATCAATGTAAGTAAGCAAAAGAACTCACACTATTTCAACCTCGTATAAGTCTTAACCAGGCAGCGCGCAAAGAGTAAAAGCGGACCTAAAGAGTCCCCGGATAGAATAACAAAAACAATCAAGGTGTCCGGCTGAGGTAGTAGGAAAGATAAACTTAAGTAGAAAAGAGGGTTAGCGTGCCTGCAAGTACAGTGCTGCTCACAAAGAGAGGGAGACTAGGATCTCATGGCTCAAACGTTTGTGTATATTTTATAGATACACCGTTAAAGTAGGTGATTATCACTTGAGGGTCAAAGAACCAGCCCAGGTCGACATTGAAGCTGAAGACATTTACATCCCTCAAAGCTATAGGCACCAACCATTTTATGAGAACGATATTGCACTCATTAAACTTAGAGAAGAAGTGAAGCTAGGTCCGTTCGTTCGAACTGTATGTCTACAAAAGAAAGGTGAAAATTTATTGCAGCCAGGCAATCATGGTTATGTGGCAGGGTGGGGTGCGACACAGGTTCTTCAACAAGGTCAAGACGCACTCCCCAATAAAAAGATTTCACAGGTATTACTGCATTCAGCGTTCAAGGTACAAAGCAACGTAACCTGTAAAGATGCAACAAAAGAATTCTTCAACCCTTCCGTAACCTTCT